CCTGGCTCTTAGCTCTATCTTCCCTCCCCCCCTCCACCCCCTTGATTTCACCCCCCCTAACCCCCCCACTTTGGCTCGTTCACTCCCCCCCCCCCACCGTTTCCTCCAACCCCTTTCCTCCTGATTTTCTTACTTTCTTATCTTTTTCCTATTTTTAGATATTAAATTGGGTTTCCAATTCAGAGGAGAGGTGGACGTATATGTATGTATTCTATACACAAACATACACACATGAACACACGTACATACTCATTCACATACGAACACACAGACGCACACACATACGCACACACACACGCGCGCACACACATATATAGGTAGATGAATAGATAGATAAATAGATAGATAGATAAGATGGTGGAGAAGGAGGAATAGGAGGAGGGGAATGAAGGAGGGAGGAAGAAAAATCAAATATTGAAGAAAAGGAAGAATAATGATAATAATTACAGTGATGATAATAACGAAAGTAATGATAGTAGTAATAACAATAATGATAACTATAATAATAATAATAATAATAATGATAATGATAATTATTATTGTTATAATTATTATTATTATTATTATTGTTATTATCATTATTATTATTATCATAATATCAATAGTATTGATAATAATGATTATAATAATGATAATAATAACAATAATGATAATAATAATAATGATAATGGGAATAAGGAATAAACAGGAAAAAAAGAACAAAAGCAAGAGAGAGAGAGAGAGAGAGAGAGAGAGAGAGAGAGAGAGAGAGAGAGAAAGAGAGAGAGAGAAAGAGAGAGAGAAAGAGAGAGAGAGAGAGACAGACAGAGACAGAGACAGAGACAGAGAGAGAAAGAGCGCAAGAAATGAAGAAAGAGAGAAAAAGAAAAATGAGAAAAGGCACATCACAAATAAACAGAGCCTGGCCCTCCCCCCTTCCTTAGCGAAACATCCCTAAGGCAGAAGGATGGAAGGATTCTTTGGGCTCATTTGGGGGGGAGGGGGGAGGAGGGAAAATGGGGGGAAGGGGTGAAGAGGGGAAAGGAGGAGTGGGAGAAGGAGAGGGGAGAGGAAGGGGGGTTGAGAGAAAGAGGAATAAAGAGAGGAGGGAGGAAAGGAGGTGAGGGAGGGGAAAAAGGAAAGGGGAGGGGAGAGAAAGGGGAATAAAGAGAGAAGCAGAGAAGGGGGGGAAGGAGGAGTGGGAGAAGGAGAGGGGGAGGGAAGGGGGGAGAGGGAGAAGGAGAAGAAGGGGAAGGAGATGAGGGGGAGGGAGGGGGGGGAGGGAGAAGGAGAGGGGGAAGGAAGGGGGGAAAAGGAGAAGGAGAGGGGGATGAGGGAGAGGAAGAGAAGGGGGGAGGGGGAGAGGGAGAAGGAGGAGAAGGGGGAAGAGGGGAAAGGGAGAAGAAGAAGAGGAGGGAAGGGAGAAGGGGAGAAGGAGAGGGGGGGGGTAGGAGGAGAGGATATACAGAGGGGGGTAAAAGGAAAGAAAGGGAGAGGGGAAGAGAGAAAAGGAGGGTGAAGGGTAGGGGAAGGGAAAGGGGAAGAGATGGGGTAGAGGGAGGAGGGACGGGGAGGGGAAGAGAGAAAGAGGAATAGGAAAAGGGAAGGGGAGAAAGTAAGGGTAAATAGGTAGGAGAAAGGGAAAGAGGGAAGAGAAAGTGAAATAAACGAAGAGAGGAACATGGAGAGAAGGAGAAAGGAGGAAGAGGGAAATAAAAGAGGGAAATATCAAAGAGAAGAAAAGGAAAAGTAGCGAGTAAGAGCAGGGCTAGAAAGAAAGAAAAGAGAAGGGGAAAAGAGGGAGAGAGAAAGAAGCAATAGAGAAAAGGTGAGGAAAATCGAAAGAGAAAAGAAGAAAAATTGATGGAGGCGAAAATAGAGAAAGGGAAGAGAAAGCCGGAAGGTAGACAGTGAGTAAAGAGAGGGTGCAGGAAAGATGGCAAGAAAGAGAGGGGAGAGAGGGAGAGAAAAGGGGGGGGGGGGAGGGGAAAGAAGCGTGTGATGTGTGACTTTACAAGGATATTGACTGTGAGGGTACGACTATCAAAAAAAAAAAGAAAAAAAAAAATGGAAAGAAAATCGCTCTGAGGCGCGAATTGGGGGAGGAGAAGGGGGGGGGGGAGAGGAGGAGAGGAGGAAGGAGGAGGAGAGGAGGAGGAGGAGGCGGAGGAGGAGGGGGAATGGGGGGAGAGGAGGAGGAGGAGGGGATAGCGGAGGAGAAGGTGGAGGAGGAAGAGGGAGAGAAAGAGAAAGACAGGTAGATGGGGATAAAAGCAGGAAAGAAAATGGGGAACGTCGTCAATAGAAGAAGAAAGGAAAGGAAAGAAATAAGAAAGGAACAAGAAGAAACATCCGAAACAAGAAAAAGTAAAATAAGCAGAAAATACGAAAATATATCAGCTGTAAACAGGAGAAAAAGAATAACACAAGCATCCCGTTATGTATCTATCTATCTATTTACCTATCTATCTATCTATCTATCTATCTAATACGAAAAAGAATATGAAGGAGCCAACATCCCCCACCCCCTTCTTCCCTATCTCCTTTTCTTCTCCCTCTCTCTCCCCCTTCCACCACCCCCCTTTCCACTCCACCCCCCCACCCCCCCTAATTCCAAAAGATGAGCGAGGGCGCGAGGAGGCAATCACGAGAGAGCGCCTGGAGTCATCATCGGCGCGACTGACTCCCCCCCCCCCTCCCACCCCCCACCCCCCCACCCCCCTCACACCCCTCACACCCCCACACCCCCACACCCCCACACCCCTCTTCCCCACACCCCCACACCCCCACACCCCTCACACCCCCACACTCCTCACACCCCTACACCCCCCACACCCCTCACACCCCTCACACCCCCATCCTCGCTCCGGTCCTCGTATGTCGCGGATGGGAGGAGGGCGACGGGACGCGATGCTCGAGATAGATAGATAGATAGATAGATTAGGCCAGAGGTAAGGCATGGTTCTTTGGGGAAGAGGAGGAGGACGAAAAACGGAGGGAAAAGAGAGAGAGAGAGGGAGGGAGAGAGAGAGAGAGAAAGAGAAGGAGAGAGAGAGAGAGAGAGAGAGAGAGAGACAGACAGACAGACAGACAGACAGACAGACAGACAGACAGAGACAGACACACACACAAACACACACACACACACACACACACACACACACAGAAACAGAGACTGAGACGGTGAAGTGAACGTGAGGTTAAACCCTACAAGAACGTAACAAATTCTGAGCTTCGGTTACAAAGAACATTGCCGAGATGCGTTGATTCATATATTTGCAAAAATAATTTAGTTAGAACCGCTTCTCCTCCTCCTCTTTCTCCTCCTTTTCCTCTTCCTTCTCCTCTTTCTCCTTCTCTTCCTCTTCCTCCTCCTCTTTCTCCTACTTTTCTTCTTCCTCCTCCTTCTCCTCCTCCTCCTCCTCCTCCTCTTTCTCCTTCTCTTCCTCCTTCTCCTCTTCCTCTTCCTCCTCCCTTTTTCTCCTCCTCCTCCTCCTCCTCCTCCTTTTTCTTCTTCTTGTTATGTAATAGAATGTATGTACATATATTTATGTGTGTGTGTGTGTGTGTGTGTGTGTGTGTGTGTGTGTGTGTGTGTGTTGTGTGTGTGTGTGTGTGTGTGTGTGTGTGTGTGTGTGTGTGTGTGCCAAATAAAATTGTATGTGTGATTCTATTAATAAATTCATTGTATTTCGTAAGATTGTATAGAACAGAGTATGAATCAATATTTCGATGAATTATAGCGAGTATATGATAATAACGTTTATAGTAGATACTGATAAGTAATACCAGCAACGTATTATAACAATATCATCACTTAAAGAAAGGGACAAAGGAAGGAGAGGGAAACAGAGAGAGAAAGAAAGAAAAGAAAAGAAAAGAGAGAGAGAGAGAGAGAGAGAGAGAGAGAGAGAGAGAGAGAGAAGAGAGAGAGAGAGAGAGAGAGAGAGAGAGAGAGAGAGAGAGAGAGAGAGAGACAGATGGATAGAAAGATAGATAGATAGATGTATAGATAAACAGATAGACAGGTAGATAGATAGATAGAGATAGATAGATAGATAGATAGATAGATAGAGAGAGAGAGAGAGAGAGAGAGAGAGAGAGAGAGAGAGAGAGAGAGAGAAAGAAAGAGAGAGAGAAGAGAGATTTCTTCCATCATGTTTGTCAGTAATCTTACCATCATTTTCAATTGTCATTTTTATCATTATCCTCATTTTATAGCTATCATTATCATTAATATTACAATCATCAGTTTATTATTATTACCACTGTATTATTAATATCATTATTATTTTTAAAATTAATATATTATTAGTATTATCATTGTTATTATCATTGTTAGCATCATCATTGTCCCTATTTTTAACTATTCTTCTGATCATCACCAAGATTATCTTCACGATTATCACCATAATCACTATCATTACCATCTTCACCATTATCCTTTTCACTACGAGAGAGATTGTCTTTGCAACATGAGCAACAGTATTGAGGCATATCCTGCGTCCTGCTAAAAATTACTTGATCTTTCTTTGTCTTTGCTCTTCCTTTCTTATCGTTCTCTCCCTCTCTCTTTCTGTTTATCTATCTCTCTATCTCTATCCCTTTCTCTCTCTCTCTCTCTCTCTCTCTTCTCTCTCTCTCTCCTCTCTCTATCTCTTCTCTCTCTCCTTTCTCATCTCTCTTCTCTCTCTCTCTTCTCTCTCTTTTTCTCTCTCTCTGATCTCTCTCTCTCTTCTCTCTCTCTCCCTCTCTTTCTCTCTCTCTCTCTCTCCCTCTCTCTCTCCTCTCCTTCTCCCTCTTCCTCTCCCTCTCCTCTCCCCCTCCCTCTCCCTCTCCCTCTGCCTCTCCGCCCTCCCTCTCCTCTATCCTCGTCCTTCTCCGTCTTCCCTCTCCCTCTCCTTCTCCCTCTCCTTCCTCCTCTCCCTCTCCCTCTCCCTCTCCTCTCCTTCTCCCTCTCCCTCTCCATCTGCCTCACCCTCTCCCTTTCCTTCTCCCTCTCCCTCTCCCTCTCCATTTGCCTCTTCCTCTCCCTCTCCCTCTATCTCTCCCTCTCCTTCTCCCTCTCCCTCTCCTTCTCCCTCTCCCTCTCTCTATCTCTCCCTCTCGCTCTCTCTATCTCTCCCTCTCCCTCTCCCTCTCCTCTCCCCTCTCCCTCTCCCTCTCCTTCTCCCTCTATCTCTCTCTCTCCCTCCCTCCCTCTCCCTCTCCCTCTCCCTCTCCCTCTCCTTCTCCCTCTCCCTCTCCCTCTCCTTCTCCCTCTCCTTCTCCCTCTCCCTCCCTCTTTTCCCTCTCCTTCTCCTTTTCCCTCTCCCTCTCCCTCTCCCTCTCCCTCTCCTTCTCCCTCTCCTTCTCCCTCTCCCTCTCCCTCTCCCTCTCCCTCTCCCTCTCCCTCTCCCTCTCCTTCTCCCTCTCCCTCTCCCTCTCCCTCTGCCTCTCCTCTCCCTCTCCATCTCCTCTTCCTCTCCTCTCCCTCTATCTCTCCATCTCCTTCTCCATCTCCCTCTCCTTCTCCCTCTCCCTCTCTCTATCTCTCCCTCTCTCCGCTCTCTATCTCGCCTCTCCTCTCCCTCTCCCTCTCCCTCTCCCTCTCCTTCTCCTCTATCTCTCCCTCTCCCTCTCGCCCTCCCTCTCCCTTCCCTCTCCCTCTCCTCCTCCTTCTCCCTCTCCCTCTCTCCTCTCCTTCTCCGTCTCCTTCTCCCTCTCCCTCTCTCATTCTCCCGTCTCCCTCTCCCTCTCCCTCTCTCTCTCCTTCTCCTCTCCCTCTCCCTCTCCCTCTGCCTCTCACTCTCCCGCTCCATCTGCCTCTGTCCTCTCCCTCTCCCTCTATCTCTCCCTCTCTTCTCCCTCTCCCCTCCTCTCCTCTCTCTCTCTATCTCTCCCTCATCTCTCTCTCTTCTCTCCCTCTTCCCTCTCCCCCTCCCTTCTCCACACTCTCCCTCTCCCTCTCCTTCTCCCTCTATCTCTCCTTCTCCTCTCCCCTCCTCTCCCTCTCCCTCTCCCTCTCCCTCTCCCTCTCACCTCTCCCTCTCCCTCTCCCTCTCCTTCTCCTCTATCTCTCCCGCTCCCTCTCCTCTCCTCTCCTCTCCTCTCCTTGCTTCTCCCTCTCTCCTCTCAGTCCCTCTCCCCTCTCCTCTCCCTCTCCCTCTCCCTTCTCCTCTCCCCTCTCATCTCTCCTTCTCCCTCTATCTCTCCCTCTCCCTCTCCCTCTCCCTCTCCCTCTCCCTCTCCTTCTCCCTCTCCCTCTCCCTCTCCCTCTCCCCTCCCTCTCCCTCTCCCTCTCCCTCTCCCTCTCCCTCTCCCTCTCCCTCTGCCTCCCTCCTTCCAACAACAACAGCCTCGCCTCCTGCCTGGTGAGCTGATCTGCCTCCCTCCTCTCGTCTGACCTTGCTTATTGTGGAGGAGAAATACGTCAGTCTGTCTGTCAGTTTCCCCCGCGGAGGCAGCTGGTTGACTTGGGGCGGGGATGGGGGGAGAGGAGATATGGGGGGTGAAGGGGGGTAAGGAGAGGAGAGATGGGGGAGGGGGGAGGAGGGGAAGAGGGGAGGAGAGAGACGGGGGAGGGGGGAAGGAGAGGAGGAGAGGAGAGATGGGAGGAAGGGGGGAAGGGGGGAGGGAGAGGAGAGATGGGAGGAGGGGGGGAGGGGGGAGGGAGAGGAGAGATGGGGGAGGGGGGGAGGAGAGGAGAGATGGGGTGATGTTCAAACCGGGGATGGTAAAGCACATGGGGAGGGCAGGTTTGACGTGAAGGTAGGGGGGGGAGGGGGTCATAGGTGGGAGAATGGAAGTGGGAGGGGGGGGGGGGAGAGTATGTATTTTTGACTAAAGGTTTGTTTGCTGATAAATGATATGTTTGTATTTTGGATATTCTGCACTCACTCTCACGGGCACATACACGCAAATACGAATACATGCGCACATACATACATACATACACACTCTCACACACACACACATACACATACACACACACACACACATATATATATGAATATATATATATATATATATATATATATATATATATATATATATATATATATATATATATATATATAGTATGTATTTATATCATGATTGTGATTAAGATTACCATACATCAAGAACTAAAGAGCTATTCAAACAAATTGCCTCAATGATGATGAAGCTGCATCAAAAAAAAAAAAAAAAAAAAAAAAAAAAACGAAATTCGTAACGAAGCAAAAATTTTCCGATAAAATCGAAAACCCTTCGGGATGGAATAATAACGAGGCCAAAAAAAAGAAAAAGAAAAAAAAAAGAGAAAAAGAAAAAAAAAAGTTCCGCGAGCGATCATCCTCTTCGAGTTTTTTTGTTTTGTTTTGTTTTCTTATTCTTCTCTCTTTCTCCTCTTCATTCTTCGCTCTCTTTCTTTCCTCACTCTCGTCTTCCCCTTTTGCTCTTTCTCTCTCATCTTACCAACTCCCCTTCCTCCTTCTTCCCTTCTTACTCTCCTTCTCTCACACCTCCTTTACCCTCACATCTCTTCCTCTTCCTCTTCATCCTCTCTCCTTTTCCCCCTCCCCTTTCTCTCTTCCCCCTCCCCCTCCCCCTTCTCTCCACCTTCCCCCTCCTCCCTCTTCCCCCTCATCCTTCCCATCTCCTCCTATCCCCCTCCTTCCCCCCCTCCTTCCTCCTCTCCTTCCTCCTCCTCTTCCCCTTCCTCCTCCTTCCTCCCACTCCATCTCCTCCTTCCCCTCGTCCCTATCCTCCTCCTTCCCCCCCCTTCCTCCCCCTCCTCGTTCCCCCACCCCCTCCTCTTTCCCTCACCCCCTCCTCCTTCCCTCACCCCCTCCTCCCCCTCCTCCTTCCTCCATCCCATCCTCCCCGTCCACCTTCCCCCATCCCCCTCCCCTCCTCCCCCTCCCCCTCCTCCTCTTCTCCTTCCCCCCGTCCTCCTTCCCCCTCCCCCCCTCTTCTTCCCCCCAGGGGCAGAAATCATGCCATTAGTCCCTTTGATGGCGCTGACTAAAAGCGATAATTTTGATTTTCATTCGATTCACTCGTTAACTACACTAATTTGCATGGCAGATTAGGTGGTTTGATCGAGGGTTGGGGGAACAGGGGGGAAGGGGAGGGGAAGCGGTGGGGGGAGGGGGAGGGGGAGATAGATGCTGGGGAAGGGGGAGTGGGGGTGTCTTACCTTTCTTGGGTCTTCTTTGCCTTGTATGATTTCGCCTTTCGTATTTTTTTCTCTCTCTCTCATTCCCTTTTTCTTTTCTTTTTTTTTTGTTTTGACTGTCTCTCTCTCTTTGTCTGTCTGTCTCTTTCTCTCCCCCTCTTTCTCTTTTTCTTATTCCAGTTATTCATTATTTTTATGTCCTCTTCCTCATTTTTCTCCCTTTATACATCTTTCTTGCCTTCCTGTCTCTCTTCCTTTTCATCCAGTTTCATTTTTTCCTTCTTCCTTCTTTTCTCCCTGATTTATCGTATTTATCTATCTCCCTTCTTCCCCTCTCACCACAATCCCCTATTTTCACCTTTCTTTTATCTCCTTCTCCTCCTCCTCCTATCCTCCTTTTATCCCCTTCCCCTCTTTCCCCTCTTGTTTTTTATCACCTTCCCCTCCTTTCCCCTCCTTTTATCACCTTCCCCTCTTTCCCTCTTCCTTTTATTACCTCCCCCTCCTCTCCCACCAGTTCCTCCACCACGTAAAACCAAAACACACTCGAAAAAAAACATGGATGAACAACCAGGCAAAAATCTTGCAGAGAAAGAGAGAGAGAGAGAGAGAGAGAGAGAGAGAGAGAGAGAGAGAGAGAGAGAGAGAGAGAGAGAGAGAGAGAGAGAGAGAGAGAAAGAGAGACAGAGAGAGACAGAGACAGAGACAGAGAGAGAGAGAGAGAGAGAGAGAGAGAGAGAGAGAGAGAGAGAGAGAGAGAGAGAGAGAGAGAGAGAGAGAGAGAGAAGAGAGACAGAGAGAGACAGAGACAGAGACAGAGAGAGAGAGAGAGAGAGAGAGAGAGAGAGAGAGAGAGAGAGAGAGAGAGAGAGAGAGAGAGAGAGAGAGAGAGAGAGAAAGAGAGAGAAAGAGAGAGAGAAAGAGAGTGAGAGAGAGAGAGAGAGACAGACAGACAGACAGACAGAGACAGACAGACAGACAGACAGACAGACAGACAGAAAGAGAGAGAATTAAAAAAAAAAAAAATAAAAAACAAGTTAAATTGACGGTTTCTTTAACAGGACTGCGGAAAGAGTACCCAGGCGAATTCGATGCTTATCTTATGCATAAATTTATATCAAGACCAGAATGAAAACCCGATTTTGATATATTGGGCTTAATTTCATCCTGCCAATGGCCCTGAGACGGGGCTTGGGGTCGGTTCTCGGAGGCTTAGAAGTCCCTAGTTATCTCTGTGCAGTTGGAGTTGTGTTAAGGGTCGTTTTAGGGTATTGGTATCGGATATTTAGGGGTGTTTTAGGGTTTTGGTATCGGGTATTAAGGGTCGTTTAAGGGAATTGGTATCGGGTATTAAGGGTTGTTTAAGGGTATTGGTATCAGGTATTTAGGGTCGTTTAAGGGTATTGGTATCGGGTATTTAGGGTCGTTTAAGGGTATTGGTATCGGGTATTAACGGTCGTTTAAATGAATTGGTAGGCTATCGGGTATTAAGGGTTGTTTAAGGGTATTGGTATCGGGTATTAACGGTCGTTTAAATGAATTGGTAGGCTATCGGGTATTAAGGGTCGTTTAAGGGTATTGGTATCGGGTATTTAGGGGTGTTTAGGGTTTCGGTATCGGGTATTAAAGGGCGTTTAGGAGCCGTTTAAAGGTATTGGTATCGGGTATTAAGGGTGGTTTAAGGGTATTGGTATCGGGTAGTAAGGGGCATTTAAGGGTATTGGTATCGGGTATTAAGGGTCGTTTAAGGGTATTGGTATCGGGTATTAAGGGTCGTTTAAGAGTGTTAGTATTGGGTATTAAGGGTCGTTTAAGGGTATTGGTATCGGGTATTTAGGGGTGTTTAAGGGTATTGGTATCGGGTATTAAGGGTTGTTTAAGGGTATTGGTATCGGGTATTAAGGGTTGTTTAAGGGTATTGGTATCGGGTATTAAGGGTTGTTTAAGGGTATTGGTATCGGGTATTAAGGGTCGTTTAAGGGTATTGGTATCGGGTATTAACGGTCGTTTAAATGAATTGGTAGGCTATCGGTATTAAGGGTCGTTTAAGGGTATTGGTATCGGGTATTAACGGTCGTTTAAATGAATTGGTAGGCTATCGGTATTAAGGGTCGTTTAAGGGTATTGGTATCGGGAATTAAAGGCAGTTTTAAGGGTATTGGTATCGGGAATTTTAGGGTCGTATAAGGGTATTGGTATCGGGAATTAAAGGCAGTTTTAAGGGTATTGGTATCGAATATTAAGGGTCGTTTAAGGGTATTGGTATTGCGAGTAAAGGGTAGTTTTCAGGGTTTTGGTGTCGGGTATTAAGAGCAGTTTTAAGAGTTTCGGTATCGATGTCTTTTTTTCCATGGGTTTCGAAGACGTTTAATTTTTTTTTGTGTGTGTGTGTGTTATTTTGTCTTGACTATTATTTCTATTGTTATTTATATTTGTATTTTTATTATTTGATATTTTTGTTTGTCTCTGTCTCTCTCTTTTTCTCCCTCTCCCTCGTTTCTCCCTCTTCCTCTCCTCTCCCTCTCTCACTCACTCCTCTCCCTCTCCTCCTTCTCCCTTTCCCTCTCCCCTCTCTCTCCCTCTCTCTCTCTCTCCCTCTCTCCTCCCTCTCCCTTTCCCTCTCCCCTCTCTCTCCCTCTCCCCTCTCTCTCCCTCTCTCCTCCCTCTCCCTCTCCCTCTCCCCTCTCTCTCCTTCTCCCTCCCTCTCCCTCTCCTTCTCCCCTCCCTCTCCCCCCCACATTCCTTCCCCGCACAATACACACTGTTAAGAAAGAGTAGCGTTGTGCTGTACCCGTTAAACACGCAAGGGGGACACTTTAATTATTATCATCATATTAACCTTCAGAATATTCAAGATATTGTACGAAAACAGTCAAGGCGCGTCTCCGGCACTGTAATTACGTAGAAATTAAGCGGCCGAGCGTCTTTCTTATCAATTTCCTCCTTCATAATTAGACAAAGTGACTAGCGACGTGGCTTGGATGGACTATTCTATTTAATGATGATTAAATGCGCTTATCATTTATGGGATGCGTCTGTACTAAATCCCGTCTCGAAAGGGGGGAAAAAAAGGGAAGAACTGGCAACTCACACCTGATGCTGGCGTAGTCCGATTCGTCGAGTTTCTTTCGGGAAAAAAAAATAAATGAATAAATTATATTAATAATAATGATAAGGTGAGGGTAGCAAAGTTTCGATTAAAAAGCAGTGAAGATATGGCGTAAAAGTTTTAAAGAATCGAGATATATATATATAAATATTAATACGCAATGTTAAATTATTAAACTAAATATAATAATCATAATAATAAATAGCGAATCGGAGTATTCTAAGGTGAGTTGCCACTTACTGGTTATCTTCCTTTCCTGAGATTAAAGACACTACAGTTGCAACGAGATTTCAATTGCTTCTCGCATTGCAGAATGAAACACCCAAATCACCAATAGTTGTCCACACTTATCATAATTATCCAGATTAACTACTGTTTAACTACTGATAAACCCCGATATTAAACTACTATGAAAATAATCCTATTTCAGTATCTCAATTTCCTGCCGGATTTTATTGACAAAGTTGGCTGTTAAATGCATCATATCAGCATGACAAGTGCGCGCTGTTGCAACTGCGAATTAATTTTGGAAACTGAGATCTAAATCCACTTGTTAACCGTTTGATATCCATGGCTATTTTCGCTGTTGCTTTTCATGTGCAATTGATGTGTGTTTTGAGACCCGGATGGAGGGAAAAGGGGTAGGGGGGGTGGGGGATGGATGGGGGAGAGAGGGTTCTTGCTCTCATTTCGCTTCTCCTTTTTTGTATTTTCTTTGCGTGTTTGTTTGTTTGTTTGTTTATCTATCTCTGTTTATTTCTCTTTCTTTGCTTCCCTCTCTTTCTTTCTGTCTGTCTGTCTGTCTCTCTATCTATCTATCTATCTATCTATCTATCTATCTATCTGTCTATCTGTCTATCTCTCTCTCTCTCTCTCTCTCTCTCTCTCTCTCTCTCTCTCTCTCTCTCTCTCTCTCTCTCTCTCCCTCTCTCTCCCTCCCCCCCTCTCTCTCTCTCTCCCTCTCTCTCTCTCCCTTTATCCGCCCCTCCCTCCCATCCTCTTTCGTTAAACCACATTACACCTCCGGGAATAGATTTTTATGCCCACAATTGATTTTCCACCTGTCTGTCTGCCTATCCCATCATCACGTCTGTCTTTCTGCTCCATTTTCGTGTCTGTCTGTCAGCACGAGCATCTCTCCGCGTGTCTGTCTGTCTGTAAGATCATTTATGCTTCACGTTTTTTTTTATTATTATTATTATTTTGTCTTAGCTACAACGTTTTTGTCTGTCTTTTTATAAATCCTCTCTTTTATCGTTGTTTATGTTCTCT